GCAAATAAGTACCAAAACATGCAGTGGAATAAGATTGATCAAGAACACATAACCACCCCATGAAGAAACCATGTAAAAATAACCAAGTGAGCATAAAACTGACCAATACACGTTACCACTCTTTACTGCCTAAATATTTTAAATCATGTATCTTCTGTGAACTGAAATTAAGGAAAGAGAGTTAAAAATGAAACCGTATTTTAGCAAAACAGGAATACTAATAGGAAGTGAATATCTTATGGAAGCAAAACTTATTATTAATTGATGTTAAGAAAATGGCAAAAAAAACACACCTTGATCCATAGGTAATAGGTAAATAACATACAAAATATGGCGATACCTTCGTTATCGTATGAACCAGCAACAGAACGTGATATGTAACCTGGCACAATAGCAATCATGGAAGCAGCTACAAGTCCAGCCCCGTCATCCTACAGTAAAAATATGACAACGATTTAAGCTCAGCTAAATTTGCGTAACAATTGTATTAAATAATAGAACTATTACAGTTCAGGACGTTGTTGTATGTGGTCCGATTCAATTTCATTGTTAAAGGGGAATAGAGAGAAAGCCGATATCACACTGTACTAAACAATTCTATACCATTCATTAAAGCTTACATCTACTAGTCACTGTTTTTTTAAATCCCGTGACGTTACTTCCTACTTCTTTCATCTAAAATAGAAATATATTTGGACTCAAAAGTCCTATAAAGATCAATAAGATCAATTATCCAGAAACTTGTAAATCGGTCACGATCAAAAGTTAACATTAAATATCGAAACACTTTGAACGTAAAGGACTGTGTTGCAATAAATTCACAATATAAAAAAGTGTCTACCAAACCAAAATTGCTCAGGTATCAAAAGTGACCATATGTTAACTCACATAACAAAATTTAATACCGAAGAGTGACATAAATAAAAATTCTCACGTCAATATTTTCGTTATGATTACAGAGAAATAAATCAAAAGCGTTACATGTGATAAAAATTTTTTGTCATGTAATGCAAAGGTAAACAAACCTTTAATTCTTTCGTTAACGCATATGTTACTAAAACTGTAAATGAACTAAAAAGCGGAGCAAGAAATACACAAATTTCCCGCACATGTAATGTGAAGTGAACGAAATGCAGCACGCGATAAATCAAAGCACTTGTTATCATTAAACCTAAATAAATATTTCATCAGCAAACCTAAATACATATTTCTTCAGTGCAAAAATTTAGAGTTTTTCAGAAGTCCCTTTTACTTCTAAATCCACAACAGAATGACTTTTTTATATTCTAAAAATCAAATAAATCCTATAACGTAATGTTTTGAAACTAGAAAGAGTACCAAAAAGTAGTAAGCAAAATCAGAAATTGAAATAAAGATGAACCAGGATATATTGTGCCACCGATAATCCTCCCGAGAGGATACCACGCCCGATCGTCAAACCAGTTATGAAATTTATAATATCCTTCATCAGTCAAATATCGAGTAGTTCGATAGTTGAAATAAGGATCAAACTATAACATCAAGCATTCAATATGATAACATGAGAAAGTAATATATAGATCTTTCTCTTAAAAATTTCTCTGCATTGCAAATTTCAAAATATTTCCAAAACCAAATGATAAAGTAGCTAACTTACTTCATGAATGACTGATTCAAATCTGATCACAGCAAAAAGTCGGCTGAAAAAAGAAGAAAAGCAAATTTAAAAACTAGAAAACGAAATGTTTAAAAATTGATTGAAATTACTGAAGTTTGATACTCAAGTTTACGAGAAAACAGAATGTCTTTAATTAAATTGCAGAAAACACTCATGTTTTCTTTAAAAATCAGTTATTAAGTAGAAAAAAATCCTTCCCTACTAACCATGAAAAGGAGACAACAGCTGCCAGTGCTAGAATCAAAATCTTGAGGAAAGTCTCCTGTTTGTCATGTGTTAACCTCAGCAATCTGGCAACTGACATAACTGCAATTTTATTCTGTTAAAATACTGTCAAATATGAAAGTAGCAAAAAACAGAAGAAAATGAAATACCCGATAAGTTCAATCTTTATCACTTTAGAAAAGTCCGCCCAAATTTTTGAAGTTCATTCGAATTTTTAACAGTTAATTGAAAGACAAGACCTAACAATTAAACAAGTGATCTCACATTCAACTTCTTTTTTTACTCCAGAATTTACCTTCTTAATCACGATTAGGTTTAATTTTTGTATCTTGAACAAATAATAAATGCTTTTACTGGTAGAGCATTTACCATGGCATAAGCTTGTGTCTTAACTTAATAAATGACTTACTTGACCTAAACGGAAAAAGCTTTAACTAAATAAGGCAAACAAATCCACATACCACCTTTGCTTACAAAAATACCAACCGTAAAACCCTCGTACCAATTAGCGCCCCACTTTAAAGCCACGTGTCAATTACCGCTCCACCTCAAAGCCACGTTTTCTTCCCTCCACTACTCTTTGCGCCAAATTCCTTCATAAAAGTCCATTTCGCAACACGCGACATACCTACGATCTCCACGTTAGACGTACACTCTCTTTTTATCACGTTATTATGACATTGCCGTTGAATGCAGGCGGTTATGTGCAATCAGTTATCACTGTAGTTTCCGTAAAGCTGGCGAAGTCTCTGATAAGTGATAATATTTCTTTCAGGTCAATGGTGAAACCAGTTGATGGGGACGTATAGTGCTGTGCTGAAATACCATAAGCGAAGGAATTGTTTTGGATATATCCAACAGCGATACAGTGATATAGCAGGAACGACGAACATACAGGTTTGCTGATTGCTGTTTGTAATTGATAAATCAGTAATCAGAAGTTACAAATGTACTTTGATAAGATAGACTGGTAAAGTGTTCCATTGTTTTTTCTGCAATCCTATATTTGATTGTCATTTTTGGAAAAGCCATTTTATGTATAAAGCATTCATTAAATCCAAAAGAATGCGAAATTAATTATAATTCAGGTTAATGCAACCACTTCGGGCGCATATAATATCATCAGATGTGAAAATCCAGCAGATTGTGGTATAATCCAAGTTTTTACGCCAAATGATCATTGTTGTTATAGACCCAAAATATTATTTATTAACAAAATATTCGCGGACTTGTTTGGCCTTCGTGAAAATGAAGAGGTAATACTATTTCCTCTTTGTCATTATTTTGAAACAGTATTTTTGAAATATTGATATGAATTGAGGTTGTTATAACAGTGTATCGAATTTATTCTATCAAATTCATTTGCAGGTGATTGTTCAAAAGATAAAAATGGCTCCTGTATGCAGTTCATTTGAAGTGGAGTTAGCTTCAGCCGAAGATTGGAATGTTGTCGTATGTTTTATTATGAAAAAAAAATTGCGAAACTTCTGATTTTAATGTCGATCTGTTAGAAAAAAATTCATTTTTATATGTTTGAATAAGCTACAAACATATTTGACAATGCACTGAACTTAAGATTAATGCAGGAAGTTTGTTGTTATTCATGCAAATCATTACATTCTTAGAAAATGTGAAGAAAAACTGCTAAGGTAATTTTTTTTAACTGCGATCAATATTTTTACGTAGACCACCTACTTCAAATTTTGAATTACAGCTCAATCTTTGCTCACTGATACCTCATTTTTTATTGTTCCCGGAGAAATTTGTTTTATATCCGTTTAATATTTCATATCTTGGAAATGTGGGAAGGAAATAATTTATTAGAAGATATATATTAACTCTGTAACAGTGCTAGATAACTAGGTATTATGACTCAATTTTTTTTAGCAAAATTCGTCGCAACGAATTGAAGAATTACTTCTGAAACAAATTCAATTAATTACTGTTGGCCGAACATATCCAGTTTGGATTGCTCAAAATCTTTATATTTATTTCACTGTTGGTAAGCTAAAGGCTTATGTTTTTTTTCTTTTGTTTTTTGATTTCATGTTGTTGCATATTTTTCATTATTACTTTACCAGATCATACTGGCAAACTTTAGACGATTTCGTTTTCTAGATCTAATGAGTATCATAACCTCTCAAACTTTTCGCATATTTTCTGCGTTTAAGTTTATTAGCGGTCATTTTTGACAAATAAATTTTATCAAAAGTTCACTTATTTAGCTTTTTAAGCAACCTGCACAAAGTTATATGTGATATCTGTTTGCTAATTTAATTGATCCAATTTTATAATTTGTAATAATCTTTCTTAAAAAAACGACTGCGTAAAAGGATTGCACGTATTCAGCTTCATAGTTGACAAATTCACTGATACTTTCTAAACTAAAGTGACATGTATAAGTATGCAAGTCAAAAATGAATTAGGTTGCTGTAGCATGATTAAGTTGCCTATTTGTGAAACGTTTAATTTTTTACTACTCTCTATCTAAAATGTCGATGTTGATAAGTTTTAAAATACATAAAAACATTTTTATTTCTGACTTCTTGCAAAAAGTTGTACATTCTTTTTATGTTAACTTCTATCACGTCTCGCTTCTAGTTTGTAATGAGTAGTTTTTTAACCATTGATTGGCAGATGTTTTTGTCTTTTGTTTTATTAAGCCTTCTTTTTTTATTTGTTAGAAGTAGATGGAGATAAATAAACTAAGAAAAAATTTCAGCTCGGATCGAAGCATTTTCGTCTTTGATGCAGAACGCTTGTCTTTGTGAATTTACGGAGATCCATGTGAAGCCTTTTTGCTCATATCCTAATAATCTCAAAAAAAACAGTTCAAGAGATGTATTGGGAGTACTTTCAACATCTTTTGCATGCAAAATGAAGGATTTATTTTCGGATTTAGCTCCTAAGCCATTTGTGTTCAGGATTCAAGATTACTGTGGTAATGTTCTTAATAGGACTGTAGCTCGAGTATTGCCCGAAATACTGATCAATGACGTTTTTCTGGAAGAACTGAATATACTTGCTGTCTTCAGACTTAATTTCAGTATGTTTTTTTTTGTACTTATTAACGATTTCATATGTTACTTGAGAAATTATATCCAGCATGAAGAATCAGGTGAAACTGGAAAATTTTTATATTTAAAAAATAAAAAAAATGACAACTTAAGAACGTATTTGGGTGATACTATTAACGAATTGATTTTTCTATCAGCCAAAGAGATTTCTATCAATTTTAGGTAAGAGTAATTCAGAAATCATCACAATATCAACTGTTTGTAATAGTGAAACTGGTCGGACAATACATGCTTTACTTATTGAACTACCGATGGCATGTTCTCGTTTTGCTGCATTAAGAGACTGTTTAAAGGTATTCTGAGAATAGCGCATTATAGTGCTTTTCATTTGCTTTAGCTAGATGTTAATAAAGTTGAATAAAGCATTATAACTGTTTATTTTTGTTAATGGATACTTCAGAAACTGTTAATTTCTAAATGAAATTCAATTACAAAAATTTAATTAATTAAACTTCCAGATTACAACACTTTCTTTTGCTATGTACATTTCTATATCAGTTTGATTCCTTTTCAGAACTTTATATTAATTAATAGAAACAATTTTCTTGTGAAACGTCTTTGCTATATATTCACTCATGATCAGTTTTGTTTCATTATAGCGATATGATCCTCATCACTGTGCCTTCTCACCTGCACTGTATCAGCTTATGAATGGAGAATATGAATGGATTAAAGTATCCCCTTTACGGAAGGATTACATTTATCAGCTTGAAATCCTCGAAGTACTATCAGAAGTTAGTGCAATTTATCTCCAAATCTACGATTCTTAGGAGTGCGATTGTATTTACACGCTATTAAATTTTTAAAGAATTTTAATTTTGTAAACTCCTTGTGTAATTTAGAACAAGTTACCTGATAATTTCAATGAACGTTTGCGAAACTATTTGTGGAAGACTTGCCGACATTATCCGATAATTGTGCCAATTGATGGACTCAAAGTAGAAATGAACTTAACTCGTAAGTTTAGACTAGACTCTAAATCTACTTTGAAATTAATGAAGATATGTTTTCTAGACAGAGCTCGTATACAGTGTCGGATTCGACCTCACCTTGCGAAAAAAGATGAAGGGGCTCGGAAATGTTTTATCTTCACTAACGATATATTTCCTATACTCGAATATCCGGTAAATGAAGTATTTCATAATATATTATCAATCGATGAATTTTTTGTGAAAATAGGCAGCAGTAATTTGTTGAAAAATTTTAATTAAATTTTACAGTTGGTATTTGGGCTTCGTAAGTATTACAAGAAGATAACTGACAGTTTTTGCTGAAACAAGTTTTAATTTTTGTTTAATTTAACAGCTTGATGTAAAAATAAAGGGTCTTTCAATTTTTCAGAACACTGAATCAATGAAGAACAATATGCAGGTACAGGGAACAGGTGTAAATGAGGATATCAATAAGGCAATTGTTAATTTCGGCGGATGGAAGAATGAAACAGTTAAATTTTCGTATGTTTTATTTATGCTATTCTGCACTACGGAAATTATTGATTTCAAGAATAAAGATTGCTGTTCAACGCATTTGGATTAATATTAAAAATTTTCAGGTTCCAAATTGCATTTATTGAAAAATGTTACACATATATTATATATCATTTGGAGAAGCGTACTTTTTCCTCATCAGAAAATATTTTTATAGTGGGTAATAAATCAACAGGCAAAACAACTATTCTACACTTGCTTGCAGAAAGACTACTGCACTCTCACTTGGCTGTTTATAGTGAATGTCTATATTGCTTTGAATGGAATGGTGAGTTTTTATCGAAATCTTCCTAGAATTTAGAAGCGATATATTTTTTCATTGAATGTTAAATATATTAATGCATACTTATTGATTTCTTAATAAATATATTGATTCAGTACTGTTGTTATCCATTTTATGCTGTTAGATTCCCGCTTTACTCTCTGAATGATTTATTAGGTTGGTGTAAAAAATTTAGGAAAACTGTGTTGAGTGCTCTAATTATGAAAGCTAGATTTATTGTATTTATCATTTATTTTAATGGCTTAACGGGCACTATATGGCTATGTTATCTAACAGGGATATCATTGTCCAGAATAGTTCATTGATTTCTAAACCAGCTATTTGTAGGAAAATCAATTGAGAAATTTCAAGATGTATTAAAAGCTGCGATGACGCGCCTAAGGCGACGCTATCCTTCAATTCTTTTCTTGGATAATTTGGATTTTTTATTGCATGGTCAAGATGAGGACGTGAGAAATGTTCGTTTGGAAAAATGTGCCGAATGTAAGCTTGCGAGTTCCAAGTTGTAGTCCTATACAAATTAATTATTTAACTTATTTTCGTACTTTAAATGTGATAAACCTGTACAGTTTGTTGGCATTTCATTTTTATATCTTATTTCACAAAAACTTTTCTGCTTTTTAAAGTAGTCCGAAATTTGGCCATTGAAAATGATTTATTGATTGTTGCAACGGCATGCACCAAACACGAAGTTGTTGAATTGTTTTCACTGAATACCGGCAAGCGATTTTTTGGTCATGTGGAAAGCATCAACGAACTTAGTCCGGTAAGTTATCAAAATATCAGATATATTCATCGTGATAACGTGTTATTAGACTGAAGACTTTTGTACTACATTAGATTTACAGTTCTGTAGATCTGTTTAATAAGAATAGTTTTCATTTATCTAAGGCCATCACTAATGTCGAGAAAAAGTAATCCATCGCGTTTTCTAACGGTCAAATTGGTGGCAGTCCTTGAAATACGTAAATCTAGTAAACATTAAAAACTGAAGAGAGTGATCATCTTTGACATTCACTTTGATAAATCAGGTTCCACCGTTTGGTAGTTTAATCAAGGTACTGTTAAATACAGTTACTGGTGGCTGATTTTTGATCTTGTTTCATATGTAGCTGATTGAAATAAGTTTCATGCAAGTTATACAATTATCTAACTATTTTCTTGATTTAAAAGCACTAAAGTCTCATATAGATATTTTGAGATAGTCTGGTACTATTTATATCGGATAAGAGAACTGATATTTATTTTGTTTATTTTCGAAAAATGTAAAATTTTGTTATAAAAATTTTTAAATATAGCTTCCTTTCTCTCCACTTTTCTTCCTAGTGTTTGATCTCGTTCTCGAAACTCAAAAATTATCAAACATCCTACTCTTTCTATTTGCTAATGTTCCAGAAGAATAAAGTTGAATGCCAGACATCTAGTATAAGCAATTTATTTTTTGCAAACTTTATGAATATTGAAAGTTTTTATTTCCTTAAAATTATAACAAACAATCAATGACGAACGGTTTTGAGCAACTCTCAAATGTTCCATCGCTGTGACACCGTTTAGCATAACCACTATCCTTGTATACCAGCTGAATGATTAGATTCACTGTTTTCCGGCGCATCCAGGATGATTTGTTGCAAATAATTATCCAGTAACGACCTGGTGTTATGCATTCTATTGAATCCGCTTCAGGTACTAACCTCGCCGTAAGTCTGAGCCACGGATACACCATTTCAAATTTATCAGTGTCAATGTTTTGTCTTATATCGTTTATCGCACTGTTTGGTGATAGAATTTGATGTGGAGGCTGAAATTTAAATTTCCATAATATTTGCTAGAAATTTTTACTTTCATTAAATAGATAAACTATTCTATTAAGTTAGACCATATTGGTAATGTTCATTATTGTCTTCCACGCAAGTTTGTTTGAAATTATAATGGAGCTGCAGTAATAATATTTTTTTTTCTAATTTCATCCGTTAGGATGTTGATTGAAAAGGTCTTTATATTGATAGTTTTTTTGCTAATACTATAATGCCCTCTTTTTTTACAAATGAAATTTTTCATCACCTCGTAAAAAACTCCGAAATTGATATCACTATCTGTAGTAAAATACCACTGTAGTCTATCTCCTTTCTCTTTTACGTCCACATAAATTTGACTTTGTTTTCCTGGTGAAATTATGATCGTTTCCAAATTGTCTGGTAACTCGAGACTTCTCGACGTGACATATTGTTCATATGCTGCTGGTTGGCATTGAATTTCCTGCGTAAGTTTAGTTCAATTTTATGTCATCAAATTTTACTAACTTAGAGATTTGTGTCAGACCAGTCTGAATAATCGTTTATCATAATATTCTGAGACTGGTCTGTCTTATTTGAAAGAAAAAAATAATATATCATTAAGTCATCAGTATAAAATGTCATTTAGTATGTAGCATTTCATCATCGTAAAAGAATGATAGGAAACTATTCTTGATTTTTTTGGGAAAATTTTAAATTACGACATATATTTAACATTTCATACTAGTTGTTTTTTCCAAAATTTGCAAAACTATTCAAAACTAATACGAAAATTTTCTTACATAATGAGTTACCTCATTTTTGCCTCCTAAAGTTACGGGGATATCTTCAATTTTAATCTCTTTGAGCAAATCAGGCAAGAAATTTTCATTATGTAATCGAAAGCGTTCTGTGAAGCTATCAGGCATCATTGTCCGTGCTATTTTGTAAGGTACATGAATCCATTTCGAAATATTTACCATTTCCACCGGACTTACCTGAAATGATCTGGTTTTGTTAAGTTCATAATGAACTATATTTGGTTCTGAGTTAATTAAGTTTAATAATGTATGTCCTGATAGTAATTTTCCAATAATTAAAATTTAGAAAAAAGATTTTTCGATTAAGAATGTGTCCATTGTTCTGGAAGCATATTCAGAAAAAAAAAGTAGAGGAAACTTTTAAACTAACTAGTTCAGGATAATTGTCAAAATGAAACAGCTGAGAAAAATAAGCTAAATTGCCATTCGTAGCGAAGATCATAGTGAATGGATTAATTTCATAGTCATTCAGATCAATGATATGTCTTAGACCACTTAATCGGCCAGTTTTCTCTTCCTGGAATCTCGAAAATTTCCATGATGGTGATGATGAACGGTTTTTAAAAAAATCGATTTCTGGATTCTTTTCTTTTGCCCATACCAGATCTGCTTTGACCACTATGGGGAGTAATAATTGTTTAGCTGCGAATTGCTGCGTTTGAAATTTGGTTGCATTCGATACGAATTATATATAGTCTCATTATTATGGTGCAGAGGGCGCTAGATTATGGATGACGACAGAACGATAGCTAAGAAATCTGCAAAAGCTGAAGTTTCAATTCGCAGGGAATTATGCAAGTAATTGAGTCAAAATGTTTGCTATATGGAGATTCCTAAAGATTTTGTGACTCAGTTATTTGTTCACTTGCTGATTAACTCTTTTGAGCATATGTTCGAATTGGCGAAATTGTAAGCGTATAGATTCTGAACTGCGCAAGATATGAGCCATAGCCTGCAAGCAATCACCTAATTTTTTTTTCACCCTTCTATTAATTATTAATTGTCATTCTTTCGTAGTCTAGATCTGAAAGTATCTAGCAGTTCTTTCATGATCAGAAGCAAGATTTGACTTCAATAATTTATCAATTGGCGAGAAACTTCATTTTGCTGAAGGAGCTATGATAATTTGCTGAATTTTTGATATTGTTAACTTTATCATAGTCATATAATTTGTCTTGTATTCTTTAACAGAATTTGATGATCGAATACAACACAAAAGGAAAGTCTTAATACCAACCTCAACATTGACTGTTTTGTATTCCACATACCATAACAATCTATTGTGATTATCTGTTAAATTCAGAATATTTCCCATTGGAAACAATTTCAGAGAGTACATGGGATTTTCGGGGAATGGAAGATCTGGTGAATTATCCTGCAACAATTTATCTTGATATAACAGCAATAGAATATAAATAAACTGTATTTCAAAATAACATTTAGAAAATTTTAAATTAAATTTAAACAAACCAAGTTAAATGCTTTTCGAATACGTAAATGATTGTTGAGAGTTTTAGCAGCAGTAATCACAACATCTTTCTTTTTCTTCTGAACTCTTTCACAAGCTAACACGAAACGATAAATGTTAAAGTCATTGTCAAACTAAAAACAAGATTTAAATGCTGACAAGAAGTTAATATTTGTATCCATGGCAGCGATTAATTTTTTTCCAATTTTGATTTTTTAAGAAAAAGTGAAATTTTATAGTCAGATTAAAAAAAAAAGACTTCCGAGACTTCTTGTAGATTTATAGCAAGTAGTGCATTTACGAATTGAAAGATTTTTTTACTTCCAATTGGAACTAAATATTATAGAACTTGAAAAGGCAAAAGAAGTAACCGAGTGCTAATTACCCGTTTCACATTTATTCTTGTTACATTTAGGCATCATCTTAAATGATACTGTAGAAGAAGATAAACGTTGCTTACATTAGGATGTATTGCTTGGTTAATTTTTAAACGTACTTCATCTACCAATTTTTTGGATTCAATACTCAGTGGTTCCCCGAAATTTGTACTCACACTTTTCGTCATCTTTCTGAAACAGAATTATTGATTCTACCAATGATTGTTTCCAATACATACTGTGAGAACTAATTTTGACTATCGGAGATGACATATGATATTATTATTAGAAAAATGAAGCCAAAAGCATAAATTCATTTTTTTATATTTAGAACGACTGACTGACTCTTATAATCTTATAAATGTGAAGTGGCATTGTGTTTTAAAATTTCCAGTTTTTATGTCATTGTAGTAAAATATTATTATTAAAGGCACTTTAGAATATTGGGTATCGTTAGTGCCTAACATTATAGCAACTGTGAAGACAAGAGAATAAATTAAATAAGAGTAAATATTTTTTTGTTGAGAATAAAATTTTGTAGGGAGAAAAATTTGTAATACAAAACTTATTGAAAATATGTTACGAGATCAGCATAAAAAACGATTGTAGAACAGATAAGAGGAGCTGGTTTTACTACGTGGTATAGCGATAGAAGAAGGAGTTTCTGATTGTTAATTGTTAGTTCCGGATTTTGACAATTGTTAGGGAGCTGAATATAATGGTGACGTTGTTGTTCATCCTACTCTTTCTCTACTTCCGCATTAAGTTGTCATGCCCTCTCATTGCATGATTCTGCGAAGGTAGAGAGAAAGGTAACATAAAGACAAATGTCATCACTCTTCTAACCTCTCTCTTCAACTTACGAGTGTATAACTATCGCTAAAGTTTTGCGATGGACACTTTCAAGGTAGAGAATGAGGCTTGGAATATATGTTAGATAAGGTTGACCTATGAACTTATTAAATATTAGGAAAACTACACTTAATATGATCAGAATTGGAATGAAAAAAAGCATACCTACTGCACTCATGACTTCTTAACAGGATCAATTTTTTGTATGTGCTAGGAGCATAAGCATAAAGTAAAATAGTATCTTAAATTAAATTAACCTTATTTTCCGAAAATTTTAATCTAAATATATTTTTCGGAGGTTTCTTGTATGATCTCGAAGGATATATTAGCAAATCTTATATGCAGCAATTAATTTATAAACGTTATTGTTAACGCCATTCTGACTTATCGTAGAATTGCTCTCTCTAGGATCATTCCTTTATTGTTAGCGCCTTCATTTCAAAATAGCTGTTAATCCTTTCATTTTGTGAATGGCAGTAAAAAATATAAGGAGAAGGTGAATGCGTTTCGAGATGCACTGATCCTAATTTTTTGCCATCCGTGTATGACAGAGCATTGTAAAAGATGTGTTATCAAATAGGTTGCCAACTGCATTTTCGTCGTCTGTGTCAGCAAAATCGAAATGTAGTTGTTTGATGTGATAGTAATTGAACAAACAAGAATTTACTAGTTCTTTGATTGTCGATTTGGATTATTAATAAATATCGCCCGGCAGACTTGTTACGATTTTTAATTTTGTGTCACTTCCAATTAACTTGAAGGGCAAAAATTGGTGCAGTTTTTTAAACTATTTAAATAGTATTGCAAAGTATGTACAAAATACAATCTATCATGTCGTCCACATCTTTTATCTTACCTAGAACACTAGAGGAAGAAAGTTGGCTACAATTTGGATAGTTCGGAAAGAAAAACGAGAGCGAATACAACTTGAAAAAGTTGGTAGAATTGCGAAATGAACATTTAAAGAATAACTTTTGGCTAATATAGTGATGGAATCTTGAAAAATGATGCCATGTTTTGATTTAAGCTCTCCTCTTTCTGATTTTAGCCCGTTTTTCTTTGAACATTGAAAGATATTCTTTCAGTAAAGTTAGTTTTTTATTTTGCCTACTTGTTACAGAGATGTTTGAATTATTTTTTGGACATTTCCTGCAGCAAATACGAGAAAAAGGATGAAATCAAATGACATTCATCAGGAATTCCATATGTCTTCTATTTTACTGTTATAGTAATATATAAGCTATAAATGCTTGAAAGCATGAAATAACAATTAAATAATGCTCAGTACCAAAGAATTTTTTCCAGCAATTATGCACCACATTACAGACATCAGAAATATTGGGATAAGAGCATTACAAAGAGCAGCATGGTGCTACATGTTTTGCAATGCCTTTGCAATCATTTTTCTATCGCATGAAAATTAAGAAAAAGTTTTAAAAAGACAATTTTTTCATTTTTTGAAATTAAAAAATTTGATAAACTGTGCAATAATGGAAATGGTTTTACTAATGAGTATTTGGAGAAGTATAAAGGACAATTGCTGCTCCCCACAGATATATTAGAAATATCTGTAAGACATCACTTTTATGCAGCCTTATCATTTAATTAACAAAATGGAAAAGTTTCACAGATTGAATAAATAAACTGGAAATTCTTTTTGGAAAAGTTTGTAATAAAATTTGTAGTTTCTGTGGAACTGAAACAGAAGAAAGTTTTATTTGATGAATATTAAATTTGTTATATTATTAAGTGGGCAGTTATTTAAACAAATATTAATTTTTTGCTCATTATTTATGTGATATTTTACCAATAGTTGTTACGAATAAATAATGTCATTGATTCAGTGTAAATATTCTTTTGAGAATATAAATTTTCATATGGAATAGATTATCTGTTTTGAAATTTTCGATTTTTAGGCTGAACGAGGAGAATGTCTGGAAAAATTCTGTGGTCAAGAAATAGAAACATGCGGTTTACAATGTGCTGTTGAAGCAACAGGAAAATGCACTATTAGTGATTTGAAGAGATTAGCTCGACGAATTATCCTAGAATCAAGGATGAGAGGTATAATTTTTTTTTTTTTGGTGCAGGAATGAAAAATGAAATAATGAAACGCTAATGTTGAATAGTTAAAAAAAGTGAAATTTATAGACTTCTGTGAACAAGACTAAAAAAATTGAGCAGTTTTTTGTTAGATTTTAATTTTTTTTTAATCAGTTTCAAAATTTTTCAGATCTGCTGTGAAGATTGCTATTAATTTCTAACAATTTCTTTTTGTCACAGGGCATAAAAAAATTGAAGAAGATGATGTACAACAAGCACTCAGGGAATTCCGACCAAATGCAGTACCTTTTGAACGATTGAAACCGGTAGACGTGGTTAAACTGCAATGGGATGATATTGGAGGATTAAATGATGTGAAACAAATCCTCACTGAAGTTTTTATTTGGCCGATAAAAGTAAATATTTAATTTTGTCTAATTTTTGCTTCAGCTTGGAAAACATGACTCAACAAGTCTATTTAACAGCTGCAGGAGCTAAGAGATTTCATGCCTTACTGATATTATTTTTTTGAAAGAGATGATGTTTCGTAATAAGTTGACTTATATGAAATTATTCTGTACTGTTTCAGTGAACTAGTAGCGTTATGTTTGTTCCGTCTAATTTTGTTTTCTTTAAGTATCCATTATTGTATCGGAATATTTCTGTTCGTGTTGGTCGCGGAGTGTTATTACATGGGCCAAGTGGATGTGGAAAAACGCTTATTTGCAGGACTTTAGCATCACAATGGGACTTTAACGTCATATCGATCAAAGTGAGTTACTTGTATTGTTCAATATCATTCAGATAAGTATAAGACAAAAACTTAATTGCGAAGTAGAAAAATGATTCAAATGAGTTAAAATTTTAATCTTAGGACTGGAAGAACATTTTCTTCTCAATTTTATTTTGTTAATTTTGTTTGAAAAATTCATTAATTTTTTTTAATGCGATGAATTCTGAATTTAAAATTTTCTATATTTCGGAATTTTAAACTGGAAATAAAATACCTTTAGGGACCAGAATTATTGTCAAAATTCATTGGTGAAAGCGAAGAAAATGTCCGGAAAATTTTTGAATCGTAAGTTTACTGTTAGAGTAAAGTTTATATGCCAAACTAGACTTTAAAAATTCAAGAATCTGTTTTCCAATATTCTTTCTAAGCTTCGATTTTCTACAATAATTCTGAAACTTATTAAAATACGATATTTAATTTTGTTATCTTACTTTTTTTAAGCATACGTTATCTTACTTTTTCGTCATAATTTGCATAGACCTGGACATCGTGCACGTAAAATGGATTTGAGAAGTAGGGATTTTGAAATGATAGCAAGAGAAACAGATCGTTGCTTTAAATTTGAATAGGTATATGTAAAAGTAATAGATTTTTTCGACCAACTTTCATTTTTTATTCATATCGCAGTTTTAGTGCTCGTGTGAGAAGTCCTTGTTTGATATTTTTCGATGAATTTGATGCACTTGGTCCAAAACGTGGTGAGAGTGACACAGGGGTGACGGATCGTGTGGTGAATCAATTGTTGACAGAACTTGATGGTGTTGAAGAATTAGATGGTGTGTTTTTTTCAACTGTTCCAAGATGTATCTGCATCTGGTATTTGTTTTTATGACTGAATGATAAATTTTATCATCAGTTGGTAACCGATTCGTGGTACTCAACCTCTGATATCAGTAACTGAGCCATCACACTGTCGTATTTTAGCAATATGTATAGGTATTATTGTTTCATTGATTTTTGCAGATGTTTATGTTGTTGCGGCTACAAATCGAATTGATTTAATTGATAGTTCCTTATTGCGACCAGGACGTTTCGATTATATTGTTAAATGTGAATTGCCCAAGAAGGTTTGCTTTTTCAATGTAACTTATCATCGAGCGTAAATGATGTAAAGCTTCACTTTAATTTGCTTTTTATTATACTTTTTGTAGTTTGGATATTTCCCTTTAAGTATTTGAAATCATCTATCACAAATTAATCAGGAATTAGTCGGAATATTTTAATGGAAATCAGGCGAGAATACTTCATTACTTATTAAAAGCTGAAATCGTATTATATCATATTTTACAAGAAAAAGAATTAACTTATAATTTTTATTTAGGAAGAACGAAAATCTATTTTGGAAATATTCTGTCGGGGTATAGACTTGAGAAATGGTGATTTGGAAATGATAGCAAGAGCAACAGAGGGTTGGACGGGTGCTGATTTAAAAGGTTTAGTAACAAATGCTCAGTTGATAGCTCATAGGCGAATGAGCGGAGTTCTTGGTGATGAAAGTAAGTGATTCCTTTGAATTCGAAAAGTTTGATTGATGGGATTGTAAAATTTTCCTCACATAATTGCTTTATAGAAGAGAAAAAAACTTGGAAAAATTAATTTGCTTTGCTGCAAGTGTCCATGTTTCTGAAACGATGTCTTTTAAAAGTTATCTTCACGAAATAGTTTAAATTCATTTTTAGATGTTGATTTTGAAAATGCAAAATATACACTGGATCAAAAAGATCTGTTGTTCGCGATAACGGAATCACAACCAAACAAGAACAGGAACTCTTCCAGATCAGATAGGAAACCTTGGATATCGCCAGGATTGTTTACTACTTTAGCCTAGTTTCTAGTTCATCCTGAATTTGAAATGAAATCATTCTTGATAAAAGATAGATCTGTTTCGCTTTTTTGTTTATTTTCGTCACAATATTTTTTTGTCATCTGTTTTATTGCTAGTGTATATTTCAGGAAAAATGCTTTTTGACATTTCATATTATTATAACATTTTTTACGTTATCACCATATCATCAGATTCGTATTATCATGAATTTTTATAATTACAACGTTTATTCTACTTATTAACTGAATTTTTGCGTTTCACTTTAAAATTATTTCACTTTCAGAAACAAATTTTATTTTGGTATTGTTTTCATGCTTTCTTTAACTTTGTTGTCATCAGTGTATATTTACTGTTAAATTATGAAACGTCACACTCCAAACAATCGATATAATTCGTAATATAGTATTTCAATAGGATTTTACATTATTGCCATATCATTATCTGTAAATGCTTGTTAGATTTTTTCTCTACTAGAATATTAAGCATTAAAGCAAAAAGTCTTTATCAAACATTGATTGTGATCTGTGAAAATATATGGTTCTTCAGGTTTTTATCATGAATTTTTATGACTACAACATTTATTTTATTTATCAATTAGGTTTTTTATATACTTATAATTGTGTCATGTTAATATAAAGATGTGAATACTGCTGTTCACTCGATCCATACAGTTCAAAGTCATGTGAAATTTACATGCATTTTTTGATATATCAGTTATTTACTATTCAGCGCAATAAATGACATTGTTAGCAAAATAATTTGATTACTTCAACTTGTTTGATTGAAGTACTTGATAAAAGTCGGATGTCACTGGCGAAGTGGAAATTGGACCTAACAAGTGCAGGAACACGGACAGTGAGTCGTGCCTTGGATTCATCCTTAAATCCGCCTGGTTATTCACAAACCGGAACTACTGTTCAACAGGTTTTTCATCATCTTTTCAAGAAAATTTTTTTTTTCCTTTTGACTTTCTTTTTTTACTGCTTTTTGTCTTTTGTTGAACTTTTTTCTGTAAAAACAAGCCATTTAATAAGAGATGGAACCATTTTCTTACTAGATTTATTGATCATATAATTTTTTGAAATGGAAGAAGTTAGAAATTGAGGATATTTAGATAGAACAGACTGGAGACAATGAGCAAACACATCATTTGATGAAGAAACGTGCCTGGGATATGGCATTGCAACCTATCAAGAGTTTACCGATGAATCTTTTCATGATGTATATGTCCGGCAATACAATCAGTATATTTCCTATTATGATGATCGCGATGATGGCTTGGCGTCCTGTTAAAGCATTGATGAGTGTTAACCCAGCATTTAAACCTTTACAGGTTATTTCGTTATTTCCTTCAAAAATACAAGTATCTTGTTGTGTTCATTGGTTTTATTATGAGCTGGTTAATGAATTAATAATTTTTGTAATAATTTTGTTAGAACGACTTGTAATATTTTTTAATGAATAATTAAACTATACAAATTTCCAAAAAACATTTTCACTATAAATAAGTTTGAATTAATTTAGTTTTTGGGGAAACGCTTCAAGCAGGGTGTTTATTATTTGTTGTAGTAAATAGATTTTTTGATATTTCTTGGACTTTTTACAAATTGTGTGCAATAACTGTAAAATGTCAATTTTGGTGAGAAGTAAGCATTGGCTTATGCTTTGAGTTTTGTTTTGAGTAAAAACTTAAAGTTTGTCTTACGTTTTGATTGAAGTAATAAAAATTTTTTTGAAGTTATTAAATGAATTTTTAGGATGAACATATGGGATCACTTTTACTACATAAATTGATTTTCGTGCTTGGAAATATGATAGCGATAGCAATGGCTCTGTACAAGTTACATAGTATGGGATTGTTGCCCAATCATGCATCAGATTGGCTCGATTTCCAGCTGCCACCTCAACGAATGCAGTATTCTCTTGTTTCTGATTCATATGTCTCATGATATTCATTGTTTCTTCCTTTTTCTTGTTTCTTGATTGTAATATTTTTTCGGTCGAGTAAAGAATTATTAGTATCTTTTCTTTAATTTTATAATTTTAATGGAATAAATCCTCTGCAAAATTGAAGTTTCTTTCTGCATCATGAAATAATGGTGAAAGAATGTAAAAATGAATGTTTGATTATAGATGTATGAATTAAAAACAGCTAGTCTTGTTAGATCTTTCGAATGGGATTTCTTATATCGATAAGAACATGTTTGTTTTACAACTGCTTTTTAATCGTGGTATGATACAGTACATCGATCGACCGATCAGATAGTCGAGATATTGTTTGATAACTAAAATGAATTATTATTTTACTCTTTATATTGTTTCCTATTTAAATAAAAGTGGTTCATTTTGGCTCGTTATTTTAGTAGGATTTCATTCACAGCTTTTTCTAATGAGGATTCCTTGCTCAATTTCATCATTTAATGGAAAGTCTCATTCGCTTTTATGTTTCTTTCAGAACGCGCGAAAGTAATTATGATGCGTTCGACTGAGAAGTTCCCAACTGATAGAGATTTTGTACGTACCATGTTGATGGTGATAAGAAACTTGCTTGAAATGTAATGATAAATAATGTATCATGCTGTGATAGAAAGTCTTATTATGAGGAAGAGCAATAATACGGTTGACATTAAGAAATAATATAGATGGCTATAATGGTTGTAGAGAAATGTTCGAAGCAAATGGAACTGCGCATCTTTGGATGTCTTTTCTCGAGGTTATATATGACGGAAAACATGTTTCTACTAGTTTTTGGTGTAAAATTGAAAAACTTGACTATTCATGCAATCGACATATAAATCAATTGTCTCTAAGCAAAGTGATCAACATGGAACAAATGTCATGAAAGGAGTGTGGATTCTTTTCATTCATTAATATTTTAATAAAGATTATGAGATTCGTGAGGAAAGAACACCGTAAAAGACAAGGAAATTTCATTGATATTGATTAGAGAATTTGTGTAATCAATTGTGGTTTACTATCTATAAATTCTTTCGCAGTGATCACTATGAATTATTTTTCAGGGATTGAACAGATGATATAATGCTGAGAGCAAGTGAACCAAGTGGGTTACCGTTATCAATTCATCATGTTGAATTCTACGTTTCTAATGCTTTACAGGTTAAATTTTTCATGAATTACAACTTTCATTTCACAATTTTATTTTTAATTTCTATAAAACTTCAAGAATTTACACGTTTATTGATTCCTAACTGCTTAATAATATTTTCATAAAACTAATGCATCATTATCCTCCCTAATTGATGTTGCAGGTTAGACATATTTTAGAGTTCCTACTGGTATTGCATCAATTTTGGTTTTCAACAATTTGCCAAGAAAGAAAATACTCAATGGAGCAGTATAGCTATTCGTAATGGAGACGTAAGCTTAGAAGTATTATTATTATTATTTTTAAGATAAGAAATATGATGATAACGATAGTGGGAAAAGATGACCTAGAAAAGTACAATTTTTTTTTTTGTAGGAATCAATGATATCTATACTTTTGGTTTTATGAAATTTGGTAGATTTAAATGGAATTTTTTTTAGATTATTTTTATCTTTACGACATGTAAAGGACAGAATAAAGATTTTGTGAAACANTTGGCTATTCATGGAGATTCCGTTAGAAATGTATCATTCCTGACTAGTGATATAAATGCTATAATTAAGGTTGTTTTAATAATTTATTAACGTACATTATCATTTATTTAATGGAGTGTGTTGCAGTATCTTTTTAATAACATCAGCAACAGCGCAATAAAGGTACTAAAGAGTACTTTGGTAATTTAATATTATTTAAGAATAAAAATGCAAATGATTTAACGTTAGGATTTTTCAAATTAATTTTAATAAAACATAATCAGATTCATCGGCTATTCTTTCAGCTTTATTTAATCTGTCCTCATAGTTACAAAGATTGTTGGTGAACTCGGTCTTCTTTGAGCGATATCAATAATTATTATTATATTTTGACAATTTTTAAATTGCAGCGTGTGGTTGAAGAAGGTGGATTTCTGGTTAAGCCAATTGAAATCGTTACTGATGATAATGGTTTCATAAAAACCGCTGTGATTGGTTTGCCGGTATGCCAAAATTTTTTTTAGAAAATTTGTCGATTTGCTGAAATTAGCCGAGAAATTACCACTTCTAATAAATTCACTATTGCATTCTTTCTAAAGAACATTAAAATATAAGAAAGATGATATTTAGGTGATTTCAGGAATGCGATGTAGATCATACCCTGCTAGATTTAAAAACGTATCAAGGATTCTTCTTGCCGAAATATAAACAATATGATTATAGCAGCGATATTCTGAAATCATTGTGAGATTTCTTCTGAATTGTGCAAGAATAGAGCAGAGTTGAAGATACTCTGATTGCAAGTATTTTGGAAATTTTGTAGTTAGAGTTGAAAATATTTAACTCTAACTGCAAATGTTTCAAAAATTGATCAGAGGATGAATAGTTAATAATTTTAAAATGATGAATTATTTTATATTCTCAAGAAATTAATCTTTTAGAGAAGAAATATCGATCACTTCAGTAGATCATTTCGTAATTAATTATCCTGTGAATATTATGCAACGTGCTCTGCATTATTATCATCAAATATTTGATTTTGAAAAAATATGGTTTGTTTATAAAGCTAGGTTGAATTTTTTTTTCGTGGAAAATTTCCTACATAAGATCTACAACAGAATTTCCAATTTGATTAAAATTCTCGCTCGAATTCAGTTTTAAGAATTCTGAAACACTAAAATTCTGAAAAATAAAATATGAAGCATAGCTTTAATAATAATCTAAAAGTTATCGAATACGATTATATTTGTCTTTAATTTAATTTATACTATCTAAATATTCCTGTAAGTTAAATAATTTGAGAAAGGAGGACCGAACAGTTTTTCCTTTATGCATATTCGTGCAATGTATTCATCCCATTACAATTTTTCAAAGAAAAAATTTCAACCCTTTTCAGGTCAGTTGATAAATCAATATTTGGTTCGAATCAATGTGCCATGAAAATCGTACTGATAGGGAATAAATCCAAAACAATACAAATAGGCCTTGCTGAACCAATTCCAAGAGCTGGAGGAATGCGTGGTCAAATACAAGTAAGCTAGAAAAAATTCGATAGTAATTTGTTGTCAAATTGCGGTTGTAATTTGGAAAAAAAAATCATATCAATATTTTGAGTAGCTGTGCTTTTAAAACGGTGCAGATAAGAACTTTGATTTGATATTTATAAATTGCTGTTATATCAAGGAATTTCTGGATTACAATAACGGTGCTGGTGTCCAACATATAGCATTCTTGGTGGATAATATTATTCAAACAGCGGAACGAATGAAAAACAGAGGTGTGAAATTTATTGCTATTCCTGACGAATATTATACCGACCTCGAAGCGCGTCTTGCTGCTTCTCCAGTGAAGCTGTTGGAAAATTTTGAAAAAGTTTGTGAATTTTTTATGAAAAAGATATTCGTCGTCTTTTTGAAGATTGTATAGCAAGTCAGTATTATTAATTGCAAAAACTTCATTCTAGATTAAAGAGCTCCGAATTTTAATCGATTTTGATGATAATGGATATTTGCTACAAATGTTCACCCAGCCAGTTCAAGATCGACCTACGCTTTTCTTCGAAGTGATCCAACGAAATAATTTTTCCGTAAGTTGAAATAATCCTTACCTTTCTGCTTAAAACAGTTGAAATTGTTATAAGGTATGAGCAACGCTCAGCTGCTGAAATAAAGTATCTTTGAGCGTATGCTGGTTCTATGCGAAATGAGACTGTAAATGGATAAGGGAAGCAAAGGTCGGAGACGATATTTATCATCTAGAAAATAGAGTGTGAACTTGATATAAAAAAAGAACCTGATTTATTTTTCTCTGTACTTGAAGTCAGCAGCAGAGCTACTTTCAATTTTACAATAATTATCCATCAAAAAATCAGAAGTTAAGTATTAATATAAATTGGATGAAATATGACTTTATGTAATATCAGAATGACCACGAAGAACCGTCAGACCATTTATGATAAAAAATAGTGCTTGGAATGGTGTTGTTACAAGTCCTTTTTAAATATTAATCAAGACTAATAGCACGATCAATATAATAAAAATCGATAATGTACCCAAATAATGGTAATGTTTAGAAAATCAATGGATACGAACCAAATCAAAAGTACTTATTTAAATTTAATCCACTGAAAATCAAAGAATTTTCAAGTAATTTAGTTGTTAGAGAATAACAGACACTGCATTTTAATCATTTTAAAATAAAAAGAAAGAATTATTTCAGGGTTTTGGTGATGGAAATATTAAAGCTTTGTTCAATGCAGTAGAGAAAGAGCAAGAACGACGTGGAACTCTCCACCTCGGTTTATAACGTTCTTACCATTTCATCGCATTCCCAGCAAAATTTCTTGCTCTGATATATTATGAAGTTTATTCTAAAATTTACAGATATATAGTTGTTTTTATCATAATAGCTCTATTAAAATTACAAGAATAAAATTTGCTTTTAATGATCTCTATAATACCTATGAGTAATTGAAGAGATTAATTACAGCCGTCTGGAATATCACAAATTCAGTTCATAGCGAAAGCAGATTTGGAAGAAAAAAATTCCTACAACGTAATAATAGAAAAAAAAGATTGTATGCAAAACAACAAGAAAAACTTTAAAAAAATATTATTAAATATATTGTCACTAAGGTGTATCATATTATGACAGTCGTCTGCTAATCATCTTGCTATTTAAAAAAATATTAAATTCAACTGGAAATATGAAAAGCCTAATTGAATTAGAGGTTAAATTTAACAATTTTAAATTGATTGGATTGCAATGCCTATATTTTAACTCTGATCACTTTATATTTTTGTAATATTGGAAAGAAAAAATTTGTAATATGAATAAGTATAAGCAAACTTCAACTTCCTGAAATTTTTGCACAAAATTCTAAAGCAGACCGAACCAACTCTTTCGTTGCAAACATATATTTCCTGGTTAATTCAACATTATCAATAATAAAAATAACGTAGTTTTTTTTTTTTTGAAATTTGATTCATTCAGATTGTTTGTATAAACCTTCCGTGCTCATTTACTACTCCTTCTTTTTACATGTTACAAATTAAGTAAATGTGCAAGTGTGTAGCTTTACTGAACCTAACAATAAAGGTTAGTTAATTTCTACAGCTCAAGTTGTACCATCCAAATATTATGTCGAATGTTTTATTGCTTTATCAGCCAATCATCAACGATTCTCATCTATGCTGAATGCATTTGATATGCGTTGAATGTGATGAAATTTTCCAATTTCATCGAATTTTGAATAATGTGAAATGAGATATTTTATTACAATGGTGATAAATTCCTATGGTAACACATGAAGACTCGATGTAATGTGAATGATTCAATGACTGGCATCTAATTAATCAATTATTTGTGCCAGAATATTCAGGCTCAATTATGATTCCTATCTAATAATTAAATATTTAATTCCACCATTTAACCAATATATTTAAATTCTTAAGTGTTGCATAAAATGGCGAAAATTAATTTCTGTAACGAATGCCTTATAGGCCTTCATACCTGCATGAATTCTTTGAAAGAGAAATTGAGGAAGAACCGAGTATCTTTTCAATATAAATTTTTTCTTTTTGATTTGTTTAGTTCAAATATATTATTTACAACTAGTTCGTTGCTATCGAAAAGTGCACTTTTATTTAAAACTTTAAAGTTTAAATGTGAATGTTTTTCATCAATGCTGCTAAATAATGAAATTGAAATTGACAAATTAAATTGACCTATCGCTGGAATGACTCATATAAATAGGTGATTATTTGTTTTAAAAATAAATGCATGGAAAATTTTCAATTAATCACTTGAAAGTTTTAGTAAAATTCACACAAAATATTTCTCAATTAGTGTAAAATAAGAAAAAGTTTGGAAAAAAAAAGAGTTCATTTCGGTACTGACTAATATTATCGATCAATTATTTCGTTCTCGAATTGGAAGTTGTAATCATCCACTAGTTATGTGAATGATGAAATAATTGAAAGAGATGAGGTATCTAGCGTGGTTGACCTTCGCCATTATTCTCTTTCACAGAGAGAGAGAGAGAGAGAGAAGAGAAAGGGAGGGAGGGAGAGAGAGAAAATAGGGAAAGCTAGCTTGCTGAGAGAGTGCTACCGAAACAAAATCTTAAATGTTCATATGGTTGTTGTTTACGCAGCTCTAGCGCACTTACTATATCTGTCTCGTTGTTATTGAGCTCATCGATGATGTCAGTCGATCGAATGATGAAATTTCGGAGCAGTCGGGAATTCCTTATTACTATTCCTTATCACCCATGATTAGATACTTGCTCGATGGATTGAATTAATCTTACAGTTCATCTTGATGTTATCATTTAATTCCGACCATACTGTCTGTATTGGTTGCATCGTAGAAGATATTGCTTTGAACTGAAAGTTAAATTTGTTCAAAGCCGTGCCGTATTTCACAACTTTCGAAATTTTCATGCCAAAGTGGTTGTCACTCCTGCGCACCTGTCAATGTTAGATGTTTTCAAATGTACTTGTTGCAGAGCGCTTATCCATTCTTTCGTCTAATATTTTTCTGTTTTTTTTTTTTCAAATTTCTTATTCGTTCCGAATAATTCTAGAATTTTTTTGTTTTTTAAGATGTAATTATGAAATGATTCATTTCGCTTTATGCAATTTGTTGTGAATTTTTAAAAAGTAACATTTATATTTGCGTTAATTTTAATTATCCGATACACTTCGTGATTTCGAAATTGATTGAATATCGCTGCTACGTTGATCCGTAAATTTGAATTCTTTCTCTTACTACGTTTCATCATTATCATTGTAAATTGTGTGACAAAAATCGAATATTTTTTTTCTGCTAAAATTTGTTAGATAATGGTTCCTGTAATTATTTTTTTGGTAATGTACATATCGTTAAATTTAGACGGATTGGCTTTATGACCGTTTAATATTCAAATTTTGATAATTAACATGCATTGAATTGATAGGTAGGACTTTTAGAGCCAATTCATCATTTGCTTTTGAGTCTTTTGAGGCAAAAATATTGAAACTTTTCTTAAAAACACTTTAAAAAACTTACTTTTGCATTTCTTTGGATGAATGAATCTCATTTTCGTAATGTCTGTTTTGCTGTATAAGAAAATATATAAATCCATAATATATTCATGTTACCTGTACTTTAGACTACTATCAAAATCACTATCTCGTGCTGTTATTAACTTTGAATAATTTTTAATGAGCATTCTTCAAACATTTAGATTCAGGTTTTCAACTCAGTCAGTTCAATCAATCAGTTATTGTTAAACGAAAAGTTCGTATACATATATA